CGCGTCATCACACGGCGCCCGGCTTCCTGATTGGCCGGCTAGACGGCTCCGGCTGGGTACCGGACGAAGGCCGCGTTTTCGCTGGAGAGGCCCCGGGGGATGACAGGCTGCACATACAAAAGGTAAGAGGGAACTTTTTTGTTAATCGGGAAGCCGGGTGGCGACTCTTTACACGCTGCCCGGCTAATCAGGAAGCCAGGTGGCGAGTCATTACATGCCACCTGGCTTCCTGAATGGGACTTCCATTACTCGATAATTGGTATCGGCGAGTACCGGAAAAAAAATATCGGTACTCGGTACCAAAATACCGGTATCGTTGCATCCGTAATTGCAACACAGCGTATCACAAAGCGCTTTACCATGCACTGCCAGTTAAATTAATGTTATTTAAAAAAAAATAAAAAATGAAGCACTTGTTCATGCGTCGAAGAGCTGGGGATCTGAGGAGAAGCATGGGGCGACTACAGGCGGGGAGGAGACGACAGATGCTTGCCACTACCGGCCCAGAATGTTCGTTAATAGCTGTCATCTGCGGCTGACAGCTATTATTTTAGAGGGGAGAGTCAGGAGAACCCTCCTGGAATAAGTTAATGGACGATAAAGTGACAATGAGCTTATAGAAGAACGGTAAAAGCCACCGATGTATGGCATACTGAGGTGGTCAGCTGCAAGCAATTGTATGCCATTCGTCGGAGGCAGCGAAAGGTTAGGGCGCCACCAATCTAACTCTTCTACTACTTTCAGGTGACAACAACTGGAAATATAATGTGCTGGTTTTTCTGACTGCAACCTTAGCATGGTATAACCCACTTACCCATCACAGGGACAAATCTTACCTTGCTCTGCTTATCTTTATTTTCATTGGGTCTATGCAGTAGAAGTGGCTGGTCTACTTCTTTGACTGTAATACCGTAGTTTTTACTACAGAATAAATAACACAATTGGGTTCAATTCAAACATATAGAGACTGAAATATAAACATCCAATGTAAATATACATTTACATATGTATTAGCTAAACCAACTGCACCAAAAGCATTCTTAAAAATGGGTGGAAAAGCAAACCAAATTAAAAGCAAAACTGAAAATTTATTATTGGAAATATTTTTTTTCAAAACTTGCAGATCCACCTTAAAACAAGTTAAAGCTGCACTCCAGGCAAATACACAAATACCAAAACAAAAAGGCAGGCATTTCATCTGCCTAGGTTTTGCATTTTTATCCATTCAGTCCCTCGGTTCTGATATTTACAACTCTCCCCCACAGAACATCCATATCTGGAGGACCTGATCTTTCTCTGTTGTAGTTTTAATTTTTATTCTTCTAGCGGGTCTCCTCCCCACCCTCACCCTGTAACTGGACAGTAGAGGAGAAGCAACACGTTGATGAGCTCTTCCTTGATGTCTACCGAAGCCAAGAAGTCTCTCAGGTGAAGGCAGGCTATGAGTGATGGAGCAGACTCCTGAATTTGTAAAAACAAACAAACCTATTCAGGGCTTTTCGGCCCAGAATTTCCAATCTAGTAAACATTGGCTTGGCTGAGCCATTCATGCCAATGGCACTGCAGACACGCCCCCCCCGCCCCCCCCCCCACAGTGCGATTGGCCGCACAGGACCGTGTGGTAAAACAATGCCTTGCGTTCCAGTGTGGCACAATCGCAAAAATAGTGCATGCATCCTCCCGCCACAGAACGCATGTAGACTGTGTGTGCAATCCCTTGCCTTCCTGGCACAGGACAGTGCGATGAGCGCACAGGCTGCTGGAAACAAGCCCTGAGTCACTGAAAAGGGGTTAACGAAAACTATGACGAAAATTATTAGTCAACAAATTAACACTGTGGTGTCCACAGTTATGAATGAACAGGAAGTGCTCTACATCTTTTTTAAAAGGTCGGCGAAAAAAAGTAATTTTCAGTTTCGGCCTGACAAATGTTTCAATTTCGGTCTTCCTCTAAAAATGTAATTTCGCTGCATCGCTAATATTTATAAGCGAACATAATTAAAAATGGTTACAAGATCCAAGATGGAGTTTTTGTGTCACCTCTGCAACTCTCTACATGAGATTCTGCACAAGGGTAAATGAACACTACTATACACCTCACTGCTGCCAAGTTTTGTTTTTTTTTTTATATAAATTATGCAGTGTTTTTGGTAATACATGCAAAGATGTGTAAAACATATTCTGGGTCAATGAAATGAAGGCAGCTAGAGACCAGAGCTAGAGGGAGGCTGACATCTAGTGGAAATTAAGGTAGTACATCACAGCATCATGATGTTGACTTTTTAAACCTATCTGAAGAGGTAAACATTAGATCTTCATTCAAATAATGACTAATCATGAAGGTGATATACTTAAACAAATGACACATAAAATTGACATGGTTTATTTATTATCCAAATTAGCATTTCTCAACCAGGGATTCTGTGCAATACTAGTGTTCCTCCAGAGCTTGCTAGGGGTTTCTCGAGCAGTGGTGGATTATTCTCCTACCTGATGGTGCATGCATAGGTCAGTCCCCAGTGTCAACTGGCAGAGTCAGCAGAGCCTTTCCTCTCATGTCACACCACAGATGCCAGTGATCGTTTTATGTTTGTAAGGGGGGCATGTAAAGAGCGTGCTAACGTTACAATCAATGTAAAAGGGGCCCTTCTTTACTGACCACTGATTGCTTTTTTTTCTCCCTGATCACCAATGAATAGGGACCACTGAATGCTTATTTAGAGGAGTCCTTTTCTCACTAATGTAAAGGGATACTATCATCAGCAATACCTGTTTTTCTCTGGTAATTTTTATTATCCCTTTCATTCAATAATTATAACAATCAGGGGAGTGTTAAAATGATCTATTCTGTATGTTATATATGCAAAGCATGTCACATTATTATGTCTAAAATTCACTGATCATGATAAATTAGGGATGCACCGATACTGGTTTTTCAGTATCGAGTACCGATATTTTTTTCCGGTACTCGGCGATACCGAATACTGATACCAGCAGTCCCATTAAGGAAGCCAGGCGGCATGTGATGACTCGCCACCTGGCTTCCTGATTAGCCGGTAAGCATGCAAAGACTCGCCACCCGGCTTCCCAATTAGCAGGGAAGCCGTCCCCATGCTTCTCGTCACTAGGTCATGAGAAAGCATGGAGCCGGCTTTCCGGCCAATCAGGAAGCCGGGCGCCGTGTAATGACGCGACACCCGGCTTCCCGACTGGCCCGGGAAGCCGGCTTCATGCTCCCTCATCACAAAGCATGAAGCCGGCTTCCCGGCCAATCAGAGAGCCGGGTGTCGCGTCATTATACCTTCCGGTATCAGGAAGCCTGGCAGCAAGTCATTACACCTGTACACAATTACACAAGTGACAAGGGAGCATGGAGCCAGCTTCCTGATACCGGGAGTATCAAGCTAAGCATCGGAGCATTTGGGCAAGTACGAGTACTCGACCAAATACTAAATAAAGCATCACTAAAGTCATAAAACAAAAAGGTCATATTTGCTTCAGCATTCTATTTTTCTCTTACATTGTATCTTTACTAGGGATGCACCGATATATCGGCGGCCGAAACATATCGGCCGAAAATGGCACTTTTGGCTAAATGCTGAAGGAGCCATGTTTCGGCCGATACATCGGTGCATCCCTGGTTTCTTTTCTCCCCTCTGGGCGCTGTTCCAGCGGGGAGAAAAGAAAGTGACAGCCGGCCGAGCGCTGCGGTGGAGAGCGCTGTGAGCGGTCGGCGTCTCCTCCCACGCCGCTCTGCCGCCTATCATGTTTTACTCGTCGTAACCTCATCTTTTATATTTCATTAACAAAATTGGTATTTTGTTGTGTTTTGGGGCATTTAATTAAATTTTTCACTAAATATTGGGGTTTAATAAGGAGTTGCGCTAATATTGCACAACATAAAAATTTGCAACTACCACCATTTTATTCTATAGGGTCTTGGCATTCAGAAAATATATAATGTTGGGGGGGTTTAAGTAATTTTCAGGCCTAAAATGTGGAATATAACATGGGTACAAAAAATTAAAAAAAGGCCTCAGTCATGAAGGGGTTAAAAAAAAAATTGAAAAAATTAAAATAAAGAACATTTTCGGTATCGGCCTAACATTTTTTTTTATTTCGGTGCACCTCTAATCTTTACTAATGCTATGTTCATTTAATTCCCATAAACACCTTTGAATAGATGCTGAGATCCACATTCAAATACATTTCCTCTATGCCTTCGTCCACATTTCATTCTGCCTCCCTAATATCTCCACTTGTAGTCACACATTCAGAGACACTGCTTTTTTTTTACGACTCCCTCACAGCACCACACCTCCTTCCTATTGTCCTACCCACATCCCCACCCGTCGCTCTACTGTGCTAGCCTCTTCAAAAACCCAGAGCCCAGTTTCATGTGACATGGTGGAAGGCATTGCAGAAGATGAGCCGGAAACAAACAAACAAACAAAAAAAAAAAGCAGGGATATGCCGTGCATTTTAATAGATAATGATTTAGAGCAGGGGTGTAAAACTCAATTTCATTGTGGGCCGCATCAGCATTATGGTTGCCCTCAAAGGGCCGGTTGTATCTACTCTTTATCATATTAAATAATTGTCTCTGCATTTGATTATTACTGGTTTTAGTAATAACTTAATAACTAGCTCTGAAAGTAGAAGTCTAGGAAAAATAATGGCAATGTAGTAGTGCGGACTCTCAGGTGGCTGTGCAGGTTCTATGGTGGGCCGGGCGCACTCTCAGGCGGGC